AATAAGGTGTAGTCCTGAACCATCCACACCTCTGAAAAACAAATGAACTAACAAATTAAGTATTTTATCTGTCATTTATGGAAGATAAGCATTTTGCTTCCCTATAATCTATTAACTGTCCACAGTATCTAAATAAATTTAATGCACAGATGAGAAAGTCACAGATGTTGCAAGGTACATAGATCCATAATCAAAATTACTGGATTCATACACCCTGTTAAAAGCATTGCCCGTTAGCAGAAATCAATACTGTGTTATAAATTTTACCCTATAAACGAAACTTAAATTGTTACTGATATGACAGGAGCATTGGAACAGGTACCCAGCTTCAAGCATGGAGTTCAAGTAGGGGATTGAACGGGAGAAACTGGCCCCACCCCACTTAAACCAGGAATTAACTGGGCTTCTCCAAGCAGATCCCACAGGACAGGAGTTGGGAGACTGACTCGTACTGAGTTTTCATTCTGAAAAAAAGCGTTCCCTTCGAATTATGTTTAAAAATGTGTCTCCCCTCATAAGACATGAAATCTCATATTCTTGTCAAGCAAATTCTGAATGTTTTACCTACAATGCCACAGCTGTTCTTGCATTTGGCTGGAGTTGGTAGAGCTGTTACATTGTGTTGTCCAAAATTAACAATAATACTCTTTTCCCTTTCCTACAAACACTTTCTCCATACAAAACAGCCTTCAGCCTACGCAGGCAAGTAGGGTATAATAGCTGGATGCAAATCCAGGGAAAACTGGAGTAAATAAAAACATACTACACAGAAGAAACACTGTATCTGGAGACCCCTCTCAACAATTATTTTCCACTTGACCTCCTACAAACAGTTGTCATCAGAGAGCTGTGTTAGCACTACCAGACTGTAATTAAGTCTTCCGTATCTCATAAAAAGGGAAAACCAAGCAGACTGCTGAATGTAAACCACGAGGTAGAGGATTTTAGTATTGTTAAGGGTGAAGGAGCACCTTGCTATCTTAGCCCTGAAAAACTCAGCCACTCCAGCACCAGATCATCAGACACTCTGCTTTCTGAAGAGACACACTCCTCCTTTCCCTGCTATACCCAAGCTCTTGTTACTGCTGACACTCATCTACATTCACCAAGACTGGGTGGGAAGGTAACTGCTTGTAGACCTGTTCAGAGTCTGGCTCTTCCGAGTAACGTGTTTCCCAGAGGAAAATACTAATTTTCTTCTATGTGTGAGCAAGTACAACAGAACAAAAATATCTATTTTATTAAAAAAAACTGTATTACCAGTGGACCAAACACAAATAGTCATCTTTACACAAGGAACTTTATCCATCTAAATATTTTAGAATTACAAACATACACTCAGATGGAAACACACTCACATGGTACCATTTAAAGCTAGTAAAGAAGGAGGCACTTAAAGAGAAGAATGGATTAATTTGTTTCCAGGTAGATTATGCTACTGATTTTTAATGTATATTGGGATTGCACTCTGCATGGATCTAGATAAAATCACTGCATCCCAATCCCAAAAATACCAGGCAACATTGCGATAGTTTTCATTTGCTTTGCTAAAAATCTAAGAAAATCTGTGATTGATACAGTTTCCTCAATAAGTATATCCAGATGAAACAGCAATTTTACCCTGCAGCAAACTGTCGCTGAATCTGACGGGTAGTCGTACTTTAGGACAAGACAAAATATACATGTTCTTCTTTTGTAAAACCACCACATTGGCAGAATAAAAACTCCTTGGACTAAGTATTTTAGACTGATATTGCATAATAGTAAGGTGTAATAATACAAGAAAATAATTTCAGTTGATTAACAGTATAGAGAAATCCCACCTTAATTTTATAGCAACGAGGTCCACAAAGTCAGAGTGACTTCTGAACACTCCATTACTTTGTTTATAGCAATTCACATCTTTATAAGGTTTGTTTCAAAAAGAAACAAAATAACCTTTAGAGGTGAATAAATACAAGGTTTGAGGTTTTATCCAAGACTCAAAACATAAATTAAAGGGACTTGTAAATAAGCAAAGTGTTGGTGTGCTTCCACTCATGTCAATGGGAACAACCACCAGAACAAACTCAACATTAACCTTGCTTCAATATTTTCATATCCAGCTGAAAGCACTCTTGCCTTTCAGTTGCTATGACAAAAAAAGACAAACACATGACTTGCTCTTTTGTGTTGTCAAACATTCTATCTCTTTTTTTTCTTCACCAATGTCAACAGCTAAGCAACCAGCGCAGGGAACTTAGTGTGTAGATTTGTGAAGTGAGCACTGCTTTTCCAGAAGCAGTTAAAGGATATCAAGACAATTCTCTTTAAAAGCTCATGTGAAAAACAATGGTATAATTTTTCCATTTCCTGACATGTTTTAGTGTTGCTGTTGTAAAAGAAAACATTAATCTCCAAACATACAATATGCACCCAATGTAAAATCTAAATAAAACGAGGCATTACTGATCTGTTGGCAATCACATCCTTTGGAAATATCCTAAATCCTGACATGTTGAGGAAAAAGTCCTGATGACTGCTGAACACAACTAACTCCTAGTGACTTCAGTAGGAGTTGTGGATATTTCAGCCATCTGTGGATTAAAATGAGGAGGCATGATTTTTATCAACAGAGCAAGAGCTTCTCAGTGCTACATGTGATTTTAACAGCAAATTCGATCAAATCAGAAAAATTGTATCACATCACAGTGCTTACCAAGAAAATGCATTTAGCTAGTAGTCAGGGTTCAGCAGAACAGCAGCTGACAAGGTAACATGCATCACCCATATTTATTTATCTAAACTGCTGGTGCACTGTGCTCGTTTTCCATCCCCTTTTATTACCCTGCATACCTTCAGGGATGATGTACGCAGCACATCAGGTGTCTCTCCCCTCGCTGCTATTAAGTGTTAGGAATGCCACAACTCACTCAAAGTATGCTTCCCACTTTCACAATATCAGCCAACCATAGCAGAAAAAAAAAAACAAAACTCCCAAGGCAAGCTGCTGTGTAAAATATTTTAATTTAGGCTAACAAGAAATGATGAAATGACTCTTGATACCACAAGACTACTTCCATGACTGCTCATTTTTGCTGATGTACGCAGCACGTGGAAAGACGGGTTATTTTGGAATTGCGTTAACTGGATAGGAAACATTAATGTTTCTGTATCCATGAAGGCCTCCAAACACAGATGAAAACATCTGTTTTAGCTCATTTGTAAACTTTTAGATGCAAAACATGATTCAATCTGTTAGAAAACCACTTAATACAAAGTGCTCTTTTGTGTACTTTGGATTCACTAGATTTCATAAGTAAATTCAAGTTTCACAGTCAGACAAGTGTTCTGCTTTTGAGCTCTGAATACTTGAAACTGTGCATCATTGTGAAGCCAGTTTTCCTTCCAAGTTCCTAAACAAAATCACTGCGTGTTTTGAAACAAACAAGGGAGATGTGAAAAATCCATGAAAAGGAGCTAGAAGTTGTTATTTTGCTTTATATTAAGTGACACTTTGCAAATGGCATCCTGCAAGTTATGCCTTAACTCCTTGTTAAAATGCAACTAAAATCTATATTACTTCACACACACAGGTAAAGTACGTAATTGAAAGTGCACTAAAAGACTTGGGGCAAATCCATGAAACATATAAATTACTTGATTGCCTCTGAATAATAAATTGTTCCCCAGCAGATTTATAATAGACTGTTTTACTGTAGAAACACATTTCTGACATCAATAGGCACAGTTTACTGAAGAGCTGAAGAATGAAAAATGGTTTAAAACAACTTTGAAACTGGGAAGTAAGTCAGACTGTAATGCTTCTGCTGGCTGGCCAAACTGATGTTTCATCTCTCCTTTTCTCACTGAACACCAATATGTGACAGCAAATGATCCATTTGCTTTGGATCACAATGCTATTTTCCCCACTCATCCCTGGAATAATACTGTCTCAGGCTGCTGGAGGAACAGAAATGCTATCAATTCACATTAGCTGTAAAGTTTTCCTTCTCAGCACTCCTCTACTGAGAAGCCAGGAGAGGAATGGGAGCCATCACCTTGAAGGTGCCAGTAATGATCTATGAAAAGATGTCCTGGAGCACAGGGGACTGAACTCTTTGGAGAGCTCTGTAGCTCTTCTGCATCCCTGACCGATTTCTCCATCAGCAGTCTCTGCTGTGCTCCTTGCTCTATGTACAGTGACTGTTTGGAAGCCTTAACACTCATCATCCCATGAACACGAAAAACAAATGCACTTCACAAACACATATGCACACACACGCTCACTCTAGAGACACACGTGCACACACACACACTCGCTCCTCCGGCATCACATGCAATTCATTCCAAGTCCCCTGTGTATTGCTTAAAAACAGAAGCCAAGCATACAAACACCAAAAAAACCCCAAAACCAACCCCCCCAAAAAACAAAACAAAACCCCAACCAACAAAGAAACCAAAAAACCCCACAACAACAAAACAAACAAAAAACCAAACCCCAACCAAGCAAAAACACCCCCCCCAAAAAAAACCCAAAAACCAAAAAACAGTCCCCCTGCCGAAAAAAAAAAAAGCCACAACCAAAAAACAACAAAACACTTAAAGGAGGAGTGTAAGGGGGAGGAAGGCGGAGGCGGGAGGGGAAGAGGCGCTGGAGGGGGAGAGGGCGAAGTAAAAAAGAGAAGCTTTTTTTTTTTTTCCTGCTGTTGCTGTGGCTCCCAAGCATGCAGAGCTAAGGAAGAGTAGTTCCCCACTTTCATCAGCTAGCTACATCCTTGGGATAAAAGGGAGCAGTCCGGAATGATGCTGAGGCTGCAGAAGGCAAAATAAGGCTTTGCAAACATGCCTGACTCCCCATGAAATTCTCTCCTCCACATCCCCTCCTCCCTAAAACCTGTCCTAAATGGAGGGTGGGGTGGGGGTGGGAGGGGAACCAAAACCAAAATACGAAAAAAGCTACTAAACAAAGCAAAGAAACCAACACACAAGGAAAAAAGTGATGAAAAGACACAACTCACCTTAACAAGGGGTGTTGGATGGGGTCAGAGAGGAGGAAGGGTATATAAAAAGATCTATTTTTAGCAGAGGTTGTGATAGTATTGAAACACACAGACACAGGGTTTGAAAGCAGGGAGAAGAGTATAAAAAAACGAGGGGGAGAGAAATTATCGAGAAGGTGTAAGTCAGTCTGGCAAGAGAGAGTAGAATCCCCAAGAAAAAAAAAGAAAAAAGAAAAAAATAAAAATTTAAAAAAACAAAAAACAAAACAAAACAAACAAACAAACAAAAAAAAACAACCACCAAATGCCGAGAGGAGAAAGAGGAGAGCGTGGCTGTGCCGGGCTTGTGTTTTGTTTCTCTTCGCTGGGGGCGGGCAGAGGCGGCGCGGCGGAGTGCGGGAGGGGTGGTGGTGGTGGGGCTGTTGTTCGCGCTTTCGGCGAGGGTCCCCTCGCTGCCTCCCCGCGGGGCTGCCGCGGCCCGAGCCTCTCCCCGGCGGCTCCGGGCGGCCGGGCTCGCTCCTCGCCCGGCTCCGGCGGCTGCGGCGGGCGCGGCGCTCCCGCTCCCGCGGCTCGCTGGGGCTCTGCAGCCGCGTTCACGCCGCCGCTCCTCGGCCACCCCCGCGCCCGCGCTCCCGCCGCCGCCCGCGGGCGCCCCCCGCCGCCCGCCGCTGCGGGCCGGGGCGCGGGGAGGCTGCGGGGCCGGGACGGCGGCGGCGGGAGCCGCGCCCGCGGGCGGGAGCGCGGCGGGGCAGGCGTTCTCCGCGGGGCTGGCGGCGGCTGCTGCTGCTGCTGCTGCTGCCGCGGAGAGCGACCCGAGCGGGCGGCTGCGGGGGCAGAAGCGCCGGTGCGGGTTCTAGGGGAGCCGCGTCCCTGCCCGCGGTGTCCGTGCGGGACCCGGGCGCCGCTCCCGCGCCCAGCCCTGCCGCGGCGCCCGCGGGGTGAAGGGAGCTCGGGGCCGGGGAGCGAAACTTGGGCATGGTGAAAGGCGGCCGGCGTTTGGACAGCTGAAACGCTGCTTGCCGGCGGCACATCTGCGGCGCTCGGTGTCGTTGGGAAAAGCATCAGCAACAAGCCAAGGAGGCTGAGAACTGCACTTATTTGTATTAAAAGTAGTAAAACTGCACCCAGCCTTGCCTTTAAAACAGAAGTGTGGCTCACAGAGAGCGGCGCCAGCAGATGATGTTCCTCCCTGGTCCAAATGGAAGCCAGTCACAGCGTTTTGTTGATGGAAGACCATCAGCGGGTCACATTTATCTCAAACAGCTGATAAAATCTAGCAAACATTAAGGTGTTACCGAAGGAAGCTTTTATCCGACTTATCACCCCCAAGAATACTCTGTGACTAAAAATAAATCCCATGGAAGTTGTTTTTAAGGAGATAAATATAAAAACTTCGGACACCTTTTTATATTTTCATTGTCTAGATCAAAAGAAATTAAAAAAAAAAAAGAGAAGAGATGGAAAAATTAAGTGCAGAGAAGTAATTGAGCTTTAAATGGTACTTTATTTCTATCTACAGTGCTATTAACAACAGTAAGTAAATATGTCTGTTTATGACTTGCGATTTTGAATTGGCATTGCCCCACAAATGATGAGAGCAAATGCAGGCCAAGCTGTTGGATTCACAACTTGCAACTGATACACAAGCTGTGCTTCAGTACCACTGTTACACTGAGATAAGCATATATAGTAAACAGTAGAAGGATATGCTCCAGTATGTAAACTCTGTAATTGTACATACTTACTCTGTAAGTATATATAGTAAATAGATATAGTAAATAGTAAAAGGATATGTTCCAGGATGTAAAGTGATGCTAAGAAAGACGCTTACGCTAGTATCGTTTGTTGATACCTGGCAGTAGATAAAGTTATCTGAAATGAGGGTTGTGGAGGGATGTAATGGTTGCTCCTAAATATTGGCCTCAGTACGCATAGAAAGGATGTTACATGAACTAGCTGCCTATATGGGTTCTGCAGGCAATCTGGTTGAACAGGTTATGGTGGCCAAACTGTTGGATACCATACCATCAGTGTAATATGGCAAGGGATGTGGAGTGCCTAGTTTTATTCTCCATTCAGAGAGTGACTCTGGCCTTGCAGGCGCCTTTGGAGCACTCCCACAGGGGCTTTCAGGGATGTACTAGTTACCTCTGTGCTCTGGCTTACCAGTCATTTTCAGCTGAAATAGAGGAGGCGGTAAAATATTTTTGAAATAAAGTGTTTGCTGGAACCAGAACATCCTTGCTAAATTAAATAGAAAAATACACTCTCAGAAACAATCAACAATTTCTCTATCCTGTATTTTAACTCTTTTTCTTTCTCCAGATAAAGAGGCTCTTCCTATGGGTTTACAGCAGAGGAACTGAAGGAATAATAAAATTTCCAAATATCTCATATGAAGTATAAATAAAATAAGAGGATATAGTTCCTTTAGTGAGCTTCTCACAGGAATCGGAGGAAGAAGATCCTCTTCTATCTTGGTGCAGGCTCAGTTTCTACCTATTTCTTCTCCAGTTTCATCTATGAACTAAATTGTTCAGCAGTCTAAAGATGAATCCAAGAGTTTACAGGGTTTGGATCATGTGTCTCAATTTTTAAAAAATATATGCAAAATTATTCACAAGCACATGAAGGGGATTAAAGATATTGAAAATAAACTCTGTGCTACTTTGAGTCTTCATTTCTACAATAACTAAGTTGGGGAAACATTTTATACATTAAAATGGGGGTAATGTTTTATCCGTTATGCTAGTACATATTTTCTTTAATTTCAGTTCATTTTCAAGAAAATATATCTCAGTTGGCATGTATTTACATGAACTTTCTTTTTAGTATTTATGAGTCATCTTGCATTGTCACAAAAGCATAAATTTATTGTAAACCACAGGTCCATTGCACCATGCAGTGCGAGGCTGTGACCATTACCAGTTCCCTCAGTCTCTCTGTGCCCAGGAAAATTGGGGTAGTACTTACTGTAAATTGTAACTCTCTGTCCCTATTGACTTTCCCAAATTTGCACAGATTTATTAATTCAAATTCTCCAGAAAAAAACCAACCAAACAAAAACAAGCAAACAAAAAAACAAACCCCAAACCCCAAACCCCTTTGATGAATGGCTTTATAGTTTAATGATGAATATAGCTGAATGAAAAGTACACATACTGATGGTATTAAGGAACACCTAAACACAAAATATTTAGATGCCAGCATATCTTTTTAAAATGTTCCTTTCAGTTGCCATGTCACAGGATCTGCATATTTAATGTCTGATTTACAAGCGTAACTTGGCATTCAAGTCATTTGCATGCTGGGAAACAGACAGTTTTACAGCTTAAGCATACATTTAAATGTATGGAAATCGTGGCAAGGGTTAAAATTAGAGATTTTTGTTGTCTACAGCGCTCCTGTAGAAATTCTTTTTCCAGAAGGCACGATATCTACATTATAGATAATTGTCTAAATTGCTCAAATGACTCAAAGGTGGTCAGAAAGGTTATTGAGAGAACAAGACAGAACATCTAAACTGACTCAAACAAAATCATTTGTCACAGGTCGTTATATTGCTTCAGGGTGTCACTGTTGCTGCAAACATGTAATTGCCAGGCAGCTTTCCTCTGAGTTTCATTCAGGCTGTCCAGAGGAAGACATACTTTGTGTTTTGTTCATTATGAAACACACAAATAATGTATGCCTACAGAGCAACAAAGAAATCTTTGAGGTAGAGAGATAAAAACTATGTCCTTATACTGCTGAGAGGTATAAACCAGGCCAACATGAACCCTTGTCAGTTGATAGTACCTCTTAACAGAAATTTTATCTGCTGCAGGGTAGACCTAGCCAAAAAGCACCTTGCTGGCATTCAACCTGTTGTAGATGTCTGCAGATCTCCACTGCTGATTAGTACCATTCCCTCAAAGCCACGCTGTAGCCAACATGAGGTGAACCTTTGGTGCAGTCTCACCTTGAGTAGCATGTCATTCTGGGCCCCTCCAAAGGAGGGCAACAAAGCTGGTGAAGAGGCTGTCCTGCGAGGAGCAGCTGAGGACTTACGTTTGTCTAGTTTGGCGAAAAGGAGGCTGAGGAGTGATGTCATTGCTTACCACAGATTCCTGAAGATGGAACACAGGGAGAGAGGTGTCAGCTCTTCTCTTGGGTACCCAAAAACAGGCCATGTGGGCCTATGTTAGGAGAGGCTTAGGCTGAAATTTCTTTACTGAGACAGTAGTTGAACACTGGAACAGGCTTCCTGGAGAGGTGGTCAATGCCCCAAGCCTGTCAGTGTTTAAGAGATGTTTCCACAATGCCCTTAACAACATGCTTGAACTTTTGGTCAGCCCTGAACTGGTCAGGCAGCTGGACTAGATGATCATTGTAGGTCCCTTCCAGCTGAAATCCCTTCCCTCACCTCTCGTCTTCTCCCCTCCCCTAACGTTCCCTCCCCTCCCCTTCCCTTCACCTACCCTTTCCCCTTGTCTCCCCATCCCTTGCCCTTCCCTTTTCCCTTGTCTGCTCTCATCTTATCTCCTCTCATCTCTTCTCATGGTTACAGACATAATAAAAAATTCTTTCTAACTCACCAAGCATCAATGAAGGGTGCATGTTAGTGATATGTCTGAAAAAGGTGTGGTACCAGCCTTTCTGTCCTTGCTAGTGGTATGTGCAAATGCTGTTTTTATCAGTGTAAGTTAGAAAGTGGATTTCAGGCTACTAAGCTGATTGTCTTTAATAATATTATCTCACACAAATGGAAATATATATATTTATTTTTTCAGTCTCTTTGAGATCCTCTGACTGTCCTGATGTCTAGACTTTTGTCTGTTTCACCCGAGTATTCTAGTGTATGAGTCATGACCAGATGTGAGGGAAGTCCACTCATCACTTCTCAGGTTATGAACATCCTGGGAACTTTTCATGGAGCATGTCAAAACATTCTTTTAATGTACACTGTCAAATTTAGTGTGAATGTGCAAGCAATAGTACTTGATGATGATTGGGAAGTCCCTAGAGATCACAAAAGCCAATTAGTTCACACTGTGCTCTGTAAGAAATGATTTCTCAGTTACCTGTTGCTCTGTAAGGAGCATAGCCTTGCAATTTTATTTTCTCTTGTACAATGTGATAGAAGCATATATTCCATGGGTTTTGATAGTATGATTTACCACATTTGTGAAAGAAGGTATTTCACAGGTGTGTGATATTCGAATTCTGAAAATGTGACCAGGAAATAAAACAGGCTTCTAAACTGAAAAAACAAACAAACAAACAAACAAACAA